TTGTGATAAATGGCACAGAGTCTACTTGGAGGCCTGTGGCTAGTGGTGTCCCCCAGGGGTCAGTCCTGGGCCCAGTCTTGTTCAGCATATTCATCAGTGACCTGGAGGAAGGGACAGAGTGCACCCTCAGCCAGCTTGCTGATGATACTAAACTGGGGGGAGAGGCTAACACACCAGAAGACTGTGCTGCCATTCAGAGGGACCTGGACAGGCTGGAGAGCTGGGCGGAGAGGAACCTCATGCAGTTCAACAAAGGCAAGTGCAGGGTCCTGCACCTGGGGAGGAAGAACCCCATGCAGCAGTACAGGCTGGGGGCTGACCTGCTGGAAAGTAGCTCTGCAGAGAAGGACCTGGGAGTGCTGGTGGACAACAGGTTAAACGTGAGCCGGCAATGGGCCCTTGTGGCCAAGAAGGCCAATGGTATCCTGGGGTGCATTAGGCAGAGTGTTGCCAGCAGGTCAAGGGAGATGATCCTGCCCCTCTGCTCAGCCCTGGTGAGGCCCCATCTGGAGTACTGTGTACTAAGGGGAGCCTAGAATTGGACAAGAGAGACATGGCACTCCTGGAGAGTCCAGCAGAAGCCTACAGAGATGATTAGGGGGCTGGAACATCTCTCCTCTGAAGAAAGGCTGAAAGAGCTGGGCCTATTTAGCCTGGAGATGAGAAGACTGAGAGGGGATCTCAATGTGTACAAGCATCTGAAGGGAGGGTGTCAAGAGAATGAGGCCAGTCTCTTCTCCACGGTGCCCAGCAACAGGACAAGAGGCAACGGGCAGAAACTGAAACCCAGGAAGTTCCATCTGAACATGAGGAAAAACTTTACTGTGAGGGTGACAGAGCACTGGCACAGGTTGCCAGAGAGGTAGTGGATTCTCCTTCCCTGGAGATATTCAAAACCCGCCTGGATGCGATCCTGTGCATTGTGCTCTAGAGGCCCCTGCTTGAGCAAGGGGGTTGGACTACATGATCTCCAGAGGTCCCTTCCAACCTCAACCGTTCTGTGATTCTGTAAAAGAGTTGCACATAGCTGAATAAGTCTGGCAAATAGATAGATGTGGTAGGTTATCATATCCCTGCCACTCATATCCTTTAAGGGGGAGGAGAAAGCCAGCCTCCTGAAGGCCAGCTCTGCAGTAGACCCATGTCCTCGTTGCTGCTGCATGGAAGTTTGAACTTGCATCTGCAACTATAAGTCAGAAAAGAGGTGAAAAGTGCAGCTATTCTAATCAACACTCCCAATTCACAGATGAGATTACCAGCAACCCCATGCACAGCCTCAAATGTAAGATCCAAGGCGGGCTGGACAGCAAGAGGCTGCCACCTGGGGACTATGCTGGCACAGTGTTGCCGTGCCATCCAGCACCTACCCCCAGTCACAGCTCGCATCCTGCAGCAAGCTGCAACTCACAAACTTCAGGTGAGAAGCAGGAAAGTTGGGCTCAAAGTCCCAACCAACCACGTGTTCTTTTCATAAAAATTATTGAGGTAAAGTATATGCCAGATCACAGCCAATCTGAGAAGTCTATGAAAAGAGATCAAAAGCCAGATATAGGTTTAGGGTTTTTTTTTTTTTTCCCCAACAGAACTTAAGTGAGCTGAATATCACCTCCCCTGCCTCTATACATGCACCCACAGGCGAAACACCTTTGCAAGCAGATGGATAGATCATACAAAGGCATCACCATGGCTAGCATGCCCAAGGAGCTAGAGGCTCTGCCTCTGCCATGCTTTGCTGCTTAGGCAGTTATTAACTACAGTCTATGTGATAAAACAGCATATAAACATCATTAAAAAATAGCGTACCTGCCCATACCATTAGCATTGATTCCTGAAGTTAATCTGAAGTACAAGATAATGTTCTGTCTCAAATATACATTTTCCATTTTACTGAAGGACAGTTTATGACCCTGTTTCTTCCTTCCTCTTTTTAGAAAAGGAACAGGAAAAGCTTAATTTAGTACCTACATGCCAAGTGACAAAGCTTTTATAGCTAAGTTAGTATGTGGATTGCAACAACTCAGTGCTGGTTAGTTTTCACAGGATCTGAAAATTACATAAGTTGGGAGGGATTTTCTGCACCCTACTTTGATCAGTTCTGAAATTCAAATCCTTTTTTTTTTTTTTAAAGGGTTAAACTTTCTAAACATAAGAGGAAGGGGCTCACTAGAAGCTAGCAGAGCTTATAACAGGGGTGGCAATGCAGAGCAGTATGCTTGGTCCCACGCATTTCCAAGCAATTTGCTGTACTTTTTGGCATCGGAAACACAGTACTTCCAGCTGCTTGATATCTTGTCCCACCTTGATTCTGTTCCTTCCGCATATAGAGAGGATAGCAAAGCTCGGGTATGAGCTCCGCTGTTGATTCAGTCATCCATAGGCTAATCCAAAAAAGCAAACATCCTTAGTCCTCAAAATATTGTTTTCAGGCAGTTAATTATCCGAGATTCTAGTGCCCAGCATCGTTATACTTCTTTCCGCTCTTAATCCAAGCAGTTTTATTAACTGACCTACCAGAATCTAACTCCGAGTTCCTGATCTCCTTGAAGGACACGAGGACTGAGCCCAATCCTGTCTAGCTCCTGAGCTGCAAAAGCATTTTAATCACAGCTGTGTCAGCAATTGCATGAACTGCATATACATTACCTCTATAAGTTGGTCTGGTTCGCTTCCTTCTTCCACAGGAATTAACTGCGACCTTCCATTCCGCTCATTGTCCCGAATGCCAATAGCAACCTGAGTAGCCTTCAGACGCTCGTATTTATTGCATGCTGAACCACACCACTGATAGATTTCCTATAATAATTAAAAGCATGCGCATTAGCGATAAGTCACCACTGAGCAAAAAGTAACGTTTTATTACTAGTTATCTAGTCTCACTGAACCAGCAAAACATCATCAAAAGTACACCAGCTTTCACCAGATTTCTTCTGAAAAGTATTTCTTAGTCACCTATATATTAGTAACTTGCAAGATAATTATGTAGTGTAGTTCACTACAGCATCCACACTATAAGAGGTTGTTCAGTCTCAGAATTACCAGTTTTGGTTTGACTGAGTTGTATCCCAAACAGGGATACATCTTCAGCTCTCTGAAGAGCCTGAAAAATCTTAAGTTTGCTATTGCAGATCATCGTTATTTTGTACCTGGCAGTTTCTTGTGTAAGCTACTTCAGCAATCCTGATCCTCACCTCTGGCAAGAAAGAGAGAGTCATTTCAAAAACCTTAAAGAAAATCCTGATTGTATCTGCTACTCAGAAGAAAAATGAGATCTTTATACCTACTTTTAATCTTGGTGACTTTTTGTTGTAGAATGATAACTTGTCAGTCACCATACTGTATCAAACCTTGAAATCAGCTCAAATAAAAATAGATGGTGTAGGGGTCTGCACAACTAGAAGATTTTTTTCCCCTCAGTTTCAGCTGCTCTGATATTTCATGAGAATTTATTGACCTCAGATTAATGTGAGGCCTTCCTGACTTTAGTTGTCACAAATACCTTAATAAATGACTTGATTAAAAAAAAACATACATACCCTACATTCAGAAAATACAGCTGCTAGGAATAAGCTGCTATCACAGGAGTAATTTACCCCATCGTGGTTGCCCCCTGTACTGGGAACATCTAAGCCACAGCAGCAACAGCTCTTCAGGTGGAAGAGTGAGCCTGCTCTGGTGGCAGCAGCCCAGTTCTAGATACCATCTTACATCCTTTCAGCAGTTCCTATCATATGGCTAAATAGGTGTTGCATGGGTTTGCTCCTCACATGAGGAAGAAAGAGCAGTTTGTCTGGAGCAGAGCACATTCCCACTGCCTCTCAGGAAGGAAGGCCACCAGAACTGGCCTAAGATTGACATCTAATCCAGAAAGACCATAAGAAAAGCAATCCAAACTCAGAGTGCTTTGATTGCTTATTATTCATCCTGAATTCAGAAGGTTTCTGGACAAAGAATTTACATTTCAGTCTTGATGAGAGTTACTGAGAAAAGCCAAAGCATAAGATGCAGAACCACTGGAGGCTGAACTGGGAGGAGATAGCCAAAGGAAGTGAATCAGCTTTTACTGGTTGCATTCCACCTCACACCCCCCCACACACACTTTCCAACTTTTGGAGGAAAGTCACATGATTTTTTCCACACAGTTCTAACAAGTAGCCCAAACAGTGTAGCAAGAACAAGAGTCTTTTTATCTTTTTTAAAAAAAAAGGTTGAACTGGCTTGTGTCCATCTATGGTGCAAATAACGGTAAGGAAAATATTTGGTGAGGATTCCAGTTAAGTAAGTTATTGAGGTCTAATAGTTTTACCAGATATATACAACTACACACAGCTTATTTCTGAATG